AGTAAGTATTATATGGTATGTATAACTGTTTTTGTGTATTTTATACAGGTTGTTTTTTGGTGAAAAGCACCTTAGCTTTCCCCCTACAAAACAACTTTTAAAGAGGGGAGGTGTTACATACAGCACTGATGTTACCTGTCTGTCATGGGTTTGGAGGGAAAGTTCCATCCTATGGGGAGTGGAAGGCGGGACATCAGGAGGAGGGGCTGTACTGTATAAATATGTGATGCGTGTGTGGAGAAGCTAAGCAGACGAAGCAGCAGCTGGGAAGAAGGAGTTGGTGTGGGAGTCTGTGTGTCAGACAGGGTACTACTGTGTGTCAGAGTACCAACCTGATAGGTTCAGGTGTCTGTTGGTTAGCCAGAACTGATAGGTTCAGGGTCTGTGCTTTAAGTTAAGGTTCTGTGTGAACCAAACTGTATGCTTGTATGAGTGAGAATAAGCCACGTTACTTTATTTTATTCACCTGATTGTTTTATTTACCCTGTTTGTATTTAAAATAAACCTTATTCTTTTTATTGTTTAAAAATCCATCCCTAGTCTGTGTGACTTCTTAAAGGGAATGGTTGGTGGCAGCTTAGTGTAACTGTGTGGCAGATCCCAGTAGGTCTGGGTTTGTCACACTTACTCTCTTCTCTCCCAGAACAAAACAAGCCATACCTCAGACTCTAACCCTTGATTTACTTCAGAGAGCATTAATAACCCCCTTTTCCCTCTCCAGTGATTTGTGAATGAGAATTTTCAGCTCAGAATAATGACACTGTGCTTTAACAAGACAGCAATCACTCATTCTGAAGGCAGAGAAATTTGCTTTTTTCATTATCTGACCTTCTCCAAAAAGAATTTCTCTCAGTCTACTGTGATGTTTGGATATGCATTTTAACAAAGAGAAGAGTTCTGTTTAAGTTGCCAGTTGGGAATAAGTGGGACATGATCAGAGAACATTGTTTTCTAGTGCATCTGTATTACTCTTTAGCAAGAGAAGGATGTTTGAAATGCTTGGAAGTTAAAATCTTTTTTCATAGTTTTTGTTTTCCATACCTCTTAATCACACACTCCCCTTAAATCCTCTGCCAAATATTCTTCCTTCAGTCTCTGAAAACAAATGACTGCTCAAATGCACAGTGAAAATTTTCATAATTTAGGAAATTATCCCCATTTTGCCATTCACACTG